ACAAAAATGAGGAACTTTCTGAGCAAATTACTTCACACGTGGGAGTCTTTTGCAAAGCTCCGGCAATGTGGCCCACAAGAGGGGACCAAAGCTGATTTCCTTTTAACGGATTAGGAGTTGAAGTCTTTGAGGGGCAAGAGGAAACGTAAAGTAGAGAAGAACTCGACAGAGCTATTTTTGGGACTTGGATTCTCAATTTCGGCGGGGACCACGGACTAGGAAGCATTAGTCATCTTTCGTTTGGCTTTTAAGAGGAAAAGAAACGTACAGAGGCATCGAATCATTAGTTATTAGAATAGTTTTAGATAGCTTTAGGGTCTGTTTGATAACATAAAAAAGTGCTGAATCTGAATTTTTTCAGATATTCAGATGTTTTGAGTGTTTGATAAATGAAAATCTATTTGCTGAACTTGTTAAGCAGTGCTGAACCTGTGTGTATTTTTTTTAGCACAAGAATCCTAACTGAATGCTTAATTCTGATAAGAATCAATAGAATTACTTCAACTACCTTATCTTATCTACCAAATCTACCATTATTTGTTAGGCTCCGTTTGATAAAACTGAATCTGAATTCTGAATTCTGAATACTGAAACAATTAATTTGCTGAATATTAAGTACTGAAAAGAGATATATGAATATCTGAATCTTAATGCTGAACATATTTATACTGTTTGATAAACATTTATAACTTAATGTTTAATAAGCTAGATTGTACAATTTTGCACTTCTATCTTTTAATCCAAAAAGGAAATAGAACATATGATTTAATTAGCTTAAAATTGTTAGGTATGAAAATGACAATATTTATTTTTAAATCAAAGTAATATAAAAGAAGAAATATATTATGGAAAAGTCCAAATATCGGTGCAAATATATTTTTAAATCAGAATTTGATAAGAAAAGTCCAAATATAAGCAAAAGGAAGCTGCAATAAACAAGTTTTAAATTCATACCAATTATATAGAAATTTAATTACTTCAATGGAAAAATGTTGATACTGCCTGGGAAATAATGAATTTGAGATCGGTGAGTACGGTAGCAATAAAAAAAATTGGGAGGAAAAAATGACAAAATTATGAAAGAGTAGAAAGATGGAAAAAGATAAGGAGTAGACAGATGTGAGTAGCATGCAAAAATTGTAAAAAAGTCATTAAATAAGGAGAAAATAGAAGTAGAAAGCCATTAGACAGAGAATGTCAGGTTGTTTAATTAGATAAGAATTTTGGATAGAGAATATTAGGTTGTTTAATTAGATAAGAATTTTGAGTGTAATTAACTAACAAGGGTAGATTTGATAGATAAGATAAAGTAGTTGAAGTAAATCTCTTGATTCTTATCAAATTAAGCATTCAGTTACGATTCTTGTGCTGAAAAAAATACATACAAATTCAGCACTACTTAATAAGTTCAGCAGAAAAATTTTTATTTATCAAACACCCAAAACATCTGAATGTCTGAATGAATTCAGTTTCAGCACTTTTTTATGTTATCAAACAGATACTTAATTATGTTCAAAATTCTTATCTGATTAAATAACATAATATTCTCTATCTAACGATTTTTAGTTTCTCTTTTATCTTTTTTTAATGACTTTTACATCTTCTCCATACTTCTCATATAATATATTTCATGTTTTATATTAATTTGATTTAAAAATAAATATTGTCATTTTCATACCTAACAATTTTAAACTAATTAAATCATAGATTTTATTTCTTTTTTGAATGAAAGAATATAAGGGCAAAATTGTCAAATTAAACTTATTAAGCATTCGGTTATAAATATTTATCAAACCGTATAAATAGGTTTAGCATTAAAATTCAGACATTCATATATTTTTTTCAGTGCTTAAAATTCAGCAAATTAATTGTTTCAGTATTCAGATTTCAGAATTCGAATTCAGTTTTATCAAACGGAACCTTAGTTTTAGTTCTCTTTTTTTTCTTTCCCTTTTGTCAGGCGCGTGCCTTGTGTTCGACAAAATTCTCCAACGGGAAGAATATCTTTTATTCCTTGCTTTCTAGTAAAAGATGCAATGCCCTTGCAATCAATTAATTTGCGTAGAGATTTATTTATGCAGCGTGATTAAGCCTTTCATCTAGTCAAGGATTAACTCGACGGTGCAGTTCCGAAAATCTGTAAGATCTAATTCGTTTTCACGCGTTTCTCAATTTATTAATATTTGCACGTTGTCTGCTTGAATTTTCATGGGATTATTTTATTAATTGGATGTCAAGGGTCCGATGTTCAATGTGATTTATTAATCTCCTGCCAAGTTAGTCAATTAAATCCGTAATTGTTTGATTGATTAATATTAGTGGCAACTGACGTGTTTACACACTAGGGGAGCGTGCAATCTAATTTAAATAACCCTCGTAGCATGTTATTGATTGGGGCTAAGTTTTTCTAGATATTAATGCAATTGAAAAATTAATTCCTATAATCGTGCATAGGGGTATTTTCTAGTTAGGGGTAATCAATAGTCGTACCTTGATTATCAATAAATTAAGAAAAAATTGGTCGTTAGAGTTCATCGGCGACTATAACTAACCTATTAATAAATTAAGTGAACCTCTCCTGCATCAATGATCGGATAAATGGACTGTGTCTGAGTAGTTGTATTCTTGGTTGGAACTTATCTATTCTTGAATTAATTCCTGTCTACATTCGTGTTAATTAATTATTCGTTTTATTTGAATTGCTTAATTATTTGTAACTTTATTCTGAAAAACCCCCATTTTACCAAGTGGAATTTCAAAGAGACAAATATCCCCAATTCCTGAGGAGACGACCTTGCTTGCCACTGTCTATTATTTAGTAATTTTTGTCAATTAATTAATTCTGATATATCGGATTAAGCAAACTTTTCGGGAATAGGGTGAATCAAGTAACCCATTGCACACCTAGAATCCCTACTCCAGTACTTAGGATTAATTATTGACTGTTTTTAGTGGTAATTAGATTCTATTTTTATTATTGCACAGGCTCGACACCTGTCACCATCTAATAGAGCGACATTTAGTTCCAACAACTGTGAAATAGCAGTGAAATAACCCATCAAAACGCACCCTATCAAACACCCTAAAAAACAGCTAATCCAACTTTTTTAAAATGGAATTCGGATAAAATGGAACCCAACTTTTTCCCAGCTGGCAAACTGATAGAAATGCCTATTCCATTCGGTTTGACAACTGTTTCAATAAATTAAAGAGTGAATGGCCCAAAAGATCACTAAACTATTAAAAATGGCACCCTTTGGTCACCAAACTTTTTTTGCGGCCCAAAAGGTCACTAAACTCACAAAAACACGCCAGCGGAGTCATTTTACCGATTTTCAGCGGTTTCTCATCCGGTTCCAAGGGTCTTGAGTTGAATGAAAATTCTGATATGGGCAAAAATGTCCAAAAGATTATTGGGACAGGTGAACTCATAGATTGTTTCGTTCCCAAAAGTTGACCAATTGATCATTTCCCTAGCTATCGCCTTCAAATTTGTAAGCCCAAATATTAAATCCTAAAAAATGTCAATTAATACTCACACTAACAAATCTAAATCCATCCTTCATCTCCGCCACCGCCCCATCTTACATCTTTCCTTCATTATTTTCCTCCTATTCGTGGTTCCTAAATCTGTCGCACCAATCCCCGAAGCGACGTCACTAAAGCTTCGACTCGCGGGAGCATCCGAGATTGCACTGATGTCAGGTCAAGATCCGAGTGCTCGTTGAACGCCAAATGTAGGTGGTGCCGCAGTAGAAAGCTAGCACTCGAAAGAAAAGCCACTTCCTTCGTGAGAAGGATTTCTAGCCCCGGGTAAAGGAAGCTTGACTTGTTGGGAGATCATCCACCAAGACTGGATGTCGCAGCAAAGGAATCATATTCAATTGCAATCGGCCTTTTCACTTTCTTCCCTTCTGCAATGTAAAGAGTAGTCAACAGGCGGTTGGCTAAGAGTCTTACTCTGAAGAAGCGAAGGAGACCAGCCCTTGAACCTAACCCTTGGAAGATAAGCTCAGACTCTGCCCAAGGCTTTAGATTGTTGGTTTATAGATAGCACCAGTCAAGAATCGAATTCTAGGTAGCGCACTGAATGAAGTCAAGGCTATTTCGTCTTTCTAGTCAAGCTCCGGCGAAGGGGAAGACAGAGGAATTCGATCGAAAGTGAAAGGCATTTCGTCAAGAAATTAAATGCGTAAAGGACAGATGCAGCTCAGTCGAAGGAGATGAGATGAAATCGACTCAATAGTTAACGGAAAGGAAGGTAATGAATGGGCTAGGAAGCCACTGATTATGAAGGGAATGATAAGGCTGCTTTAGGCCATCGACACCATCGATGACTTCTGCTTCTCCAAATCTGATGTCTTGCGGTTGCCCTCCCAAGTCTTCGCTTGCGATTGAATTTCTTCCTTTTTCTGGGGAAAAAATTATTCCCTTTGTCCAGCTTTTTTTCGCTTTGAGATGGAATTTTTCTGCTCCCTGTTGAACATTTTTCTCTATTCTCTGCTTTTTTTCTTCAATTCCTCAGACTGAACGAAGATTTGTGTGAGATGAAAAAAAAGGAATCAATGAACTAATTAGGCTGTAAATCTTGTTATTTCCTATTTTGATTTGCTCTAGAGGTGGTCGCAGTCACTACTTTTACTGCTGGAGATGAAGTCAATCTATGGGTGGAGGTTGGTCAACTTCGGGAACGAAAAATTTTGGGCTTCACTTGTTCCAATAACCTTTCGGACATTTTTGCCCCTTTATTATATTCCTCCACTACACATTGTCCATGCCACCGGATGAGAAACCGCTGAAAATCGGTTAAAGGACTCCGCTGGCGTGTTTTTGTGAGTTTAGTGACCTTTTGGGTCACAAAAAAAGTTTGATGACCAAAAGGTGCCATTTTTAATAGTTTAGTGACCTTTTGGGCCATTCACTCTAAATTAAACTAAAGTCAGATAGGAGTACTATTTGGCTCCACTTCCCGCCAACCGGACCCAATAACCCTAGCCACCCCGTTCTCCTTTTTTTTCCGAAACGGAAGAAACTCACACGCACACCCCGTTCTCGTTTCACCCACCTAAAACCCTCCTAAAACCCTGCTCCTTCTTCTCCGGCCAAACCGACAATCCTTCTCCCAAATGGATTCTCAGGACGTCAAATCCGACCTAGTCCTAATCCTAGACTATGGCTCCCAATATACGCACCTCATCACCCGAAGAATCCGCCAGCTCTCAGTCTACTCCCTCTGCTTAAACGGTACAGCCTCACTCGAATCCATCCGTAAAGAAAACCCGAAAGTGATTATCCTCTCTGGTGGTCCCCACAGCGTCCACGCGCCCCAAGCACCGTGTTTTCCATCTGGGTTCATCGAGTATGTTGAGTCGGAGAAGATTCCTGTTTTGGGTATTTGTTATGGGCTGCAGCTGCTCGTGCAGAGGCTTGGCGGGCAAGTGAGTATTGGAGAGAAGCAGGAGTATGGAAGGATGGAGATTGAGGTGCAGAAGGCTTGTGGGTTGTTTGGGAATAGAAAGGTTGGGGATAAACAGGTTGTTTGGATGAGTCATGGAGATGAGGCTGTGAATTTGCCTCAGGGGTTTGAGGTTGCGGCCAGGAGTCAACAGGGGGCGGTCGCTGCGGTGGAGGACAACAAGAGGAGGTTTTATGGGTTTCAATACCATCCTGAGGTAAAATTTGTGTATTTAGCTTGAATTAATTGGTATATGAGGTAAAATTTGGTTGATAACGTTGAACTGTGTAATTGTTTGTACATTTTTTAATCATGCAGCGCTAAAAGAATGTGCAATTACCGAGATTAATGATCATTGCATTTTGTATTTGTCCAATGTTACAATGATCATTGCGATGGAACGTTTGTTACATGGGTCTCACTTTGGAAAATAACCAATTTTAGACTTGTCTTCACAGCCTATCGGACTGGAACAATTAAAAAATTCTTGATTTGTTTTCCAGCACGAAATTGGAGTAAAAGGTACATATAAAGTCAATGTTTTATTTAAGTTTGATATATGGGTTATTGGGTCATGTTGATGATGGTGTTATAGCTATAGAGTAGCTGAGTTTTTAGGCTGCTCTTGTTTCTTTAAAGTTTATATGTATCAGCAACAATACTAATTAACTCCGTACCCATAGCAAAGTGAGAAATCAAAGCTCCAAATATAGTACATTTCATTTATATACTTTGAAATTTCCCATCTTGCAGCTCTGTTTGCAAAATCAACCTGCTTTTATTCCCTCATGCCATCTATAAGTACTAGTATCCAACATCTATTGTGTAGGACATTTGAGACAAATGCTATGACATGTTCGAAGGATTTTTAACTGGACACAATTTTCTTAAAGCATCATGTCTTCTTAGGTGTAAGTCCGTAACTGAGCATGTGGCATCTTGTCATTGATCACTGTGGAGACTAAAAAAATAAATGAATTGCATTTTTCATTTTGCGTGCTGCCTTGCAAATAAAAAACCGGGTGATTGATATATACAGGTAAATATGTCATGTTGGAACCATGTTCTTGATATGCCCCAGTGTTATAGAATGACTAAATAGTTACCAGATTACTCGTTTAGAAAGACACCAATCAGACAAAGTGGGTGGCTAGCACTGTACAATCCTACTGTCTGTATGAAAAATGAAATAGAAAAGGATTATTTTGATTGTGTTTCTTTACGTCATGATTTACATATACTTTATCTAAGTGATAGAGTCATGTGACCTGTATGGCCATAAGCAAAAAGTTTGTTACTAGATATTTTACAAGTTTTTCAATATGGGGCAGGTCACTCATACGCATGAAGGGATGGAAACATTACAACACTTCCTTTTTGATGTTTGTGGTGTTAGTGCTGAGTGGAAGATGGAAGATGTCCTTGAGCAAGAAATAAAAGCCATTCAGGAAAAGGTCAGACTTGAAGATCATGTCATTTGTGCATTATCTGGGGGTGTCGATTCTACTGTTGCTGCTACTCTTGTTCATAAAGCAATTGGAGACAGGCTCCACTGTGTCTTTGTTGATAATGGTTTATTGAGGTTTGTATGCCAATACTTTCGACTATTATGGTTCATTAGCATAAGTGCTTCATTATTATAGTAGACTCTAATGTTAAATTTTGGAGCAATCCTTAATGCATTTAGAAGATGGTTAGTATTGTCATGGTGTTGTTATACTTTAGATGTCGCTAGGAGATACCCAAGCTACCTTATCAACCTTTTCTTTGTTTTTTTCACTGCTTTTTCTTTTTCTTGTTCATGTTCTTGATTGGGATATCACATGAACGACAAAGTTTATAGGGGGAGCAAAAATGGATGTTGAGGGATTGTGTTGCCTTTTCCTTCTTTTCCTTTCTTTTCACTATTTACCCTCTTTTCTTTTTTCTTTTTCCTTTTTTATTTTAATTTCTCTTATTCATGTTATGGAGATTATCCGAGTGAGCTTCAGCTTATATTAGAGATAATTAAGAAGTGACTCCTGGAAAAACTTGTGGAAGATTAAAGTATTATTATTGTCTTAGAAGCTTGGAAAGAAATAGCTATTACACAAAACACCCTTCGAATATCTTTTTGTTTCAAAGAGAATAATCAAAGCAGACGCCAGGTGCATCTGTTAGCAGCCTAAAAGAAGTCAAAACAGCTTTTAGCTTAAGGAAAGGTTAGGATCTGCTGACTTTGTAAAGGCTAATGGTTCTATAGAATTTTGATATAGAAGTTGAAAATTTCTCAATGCTTTTCTGGTGTTGATTTGAAGGATTTGGCCTACTATTAGAAAATCATAAGAAAGACTGCACAAAAATATCAATTTTCATGTAACTGGTACTACTCACAAAAATATCAATTTTGATGTAACTGGTACTACTAAAGATATCTTCTCAACATCATGGATAATAATGTACTAGAAATGACTTTGCAATGTAGTATTTGACACTGTTAGGGATTTATTCATGTCTTTGGATTCTGATTCACCTCTTTTGTTTGTTCTAGGTATAAGGAGAGAGAACGGGTGATGGAAACTTTTGAAAGGGACCTTCATTTACCTGTTACTTGTGTTGATGCCACAGAGCAGTTCCTTAGCCAGCTTAAAGGGGTGGTTGATCCTGAAATGAAGAGAAAAATAATTGGAAAGGAGTTTATCAACATTTTTGATGCATTTGCTCATGATCTGGAGCAGAAATTCGGAAAGAGACCTGCTTACTTGGTCCAAGGAACATTGTATCCTGATGTGATTGAATCTTGTCCGCCACCTGGAACTCAAAGCACCCATTCCCACACAATCAAGAGTCATCATAATGTTGGAGGGCTGCCAAAGAACATGAAGCTAAAGCTCATTGAACCACTTAAACTTTTATTCAAGGATGAGGTTCTCCATTCTATATCTCCATCCCGAAAACATTTTTATGATGTTTCTTCTGCTGCAATAAATGATAAACTGATATTTTAACTTGCTAATGCTTGAATTCATTTGCAGGTTCGTGCATTGGGAAGTATTTTAAATGTCCCAGAGGCCTTTTTAAAGCGACACCCCTTCCCTGGGCCTGGTCTTGCAGTGAGGGTTCTGGGTGACGTCACTCAAGGAAATGCGCTGGATATTCTTCGCCAGGTTTTGGACCATTTGTTCATTCAGTACAGGTCAGCTGTCTTGGTGTTACATTCTATGCCTGTTCCTTACAAATACGTCTTGTAGGTTGATGAGATTTTCATTCAGTCAATCAAAGATGCTGGGATCTATGATAAAATATGGCAAGCTTTTGCTGTTTTCTTGCCCATAAGGTCAGTTGGAGTTCAAGGAGATCAAAGAACACATTCTCATGTTGTTGCATTGAGAGCTGTCACAAGTCAAGATGGGATGACTGCTGACTGGTATTTATGCGCTTTGCAATTCTTTGATTACCTCTATCGTTGTAAGCAATTGAGAAATGATTCTTCTTTGCATCTTTTGAACTGCATGTCTTGACAATCATACAGAACATATGCATTCATCTATTAGTTTCTCCATTGCAACAATGTTTAAAGTATTTATTCATCTGTCTTATCCTTTTCACAAAAAAAGGTTTGAACTTCAAGTTGTAGAACTGAAATGGTTTCTTGATTGAATGCATAAACATGTAGCAGTAGGAAGGATTGGCATCCCTTCAAACTAAGCAGATTGTTGGACTAGTTAAACTTATGTGAATGAGGATTTTGAATTGTTATAACAGCTCATTATCATTTCTTATACTTGTCCTTACTTTTGCCAGTAGTGGTATGATATTTACTTTTAGGTTCAGTTTCAAGGATATGTGGTTACTTATGCCAACTGGTTTTCTTCTGTCTCTGTGTGTGTGTGTACTGTGGTTTATCTGCCTATTTTCAGACATAAATACTCTCTCTTTTTGTTCTTTGTTTTCTTCTTTTCTTTTTTCCCTTCGGAATCCTATATCTAAATGGTTGGGATGTTTAGGTACAATTTTGAACACAATTTCCTCGATGATGTTGCAAGAAAGATATGCAATAGTGTACGTGGGATAAATCGAGTTGTTCAAGATATTACTTCGAAGCCTCCATCAACAATTGAATGGGAATAATATCATGTGATATGCAGCGTGGTTGATAAAGTTTGGAAAAATCTTGTGGCTTTACATTACTAAGAAAAGGAGAAGTTCTTAAATCCCTCAAGCGTTGGATCTTCTGAGGTTCTGGGAATGGTCTCAAGTTCTGTAAAATAGCCTCTGCCTTCTCTACCATGTGCCTGAAAGACAAAATATAGCTATTAAAAGTAACTAATTCTTGTAGTCAAAGATGCTGATAAGTGATTCATGAAATTTTTTTTATGAAGAAATATTTACTATTTTTCACGTTGTTTGCTATCGAATCTGCTGCAATCATATCGATATACAGTGTAGGGAAAAGAACGTATCTGTCCTATTTCTCCTCCTTGGTAGTAAGAGTTTCTGGTAAAAACAGATATATTCCGGAGACAAGCAACTTTAGTGATTGAATTCGTCTTGAGTGATCATTGTCGTTTCGTTTGAAGTACATTGAATTAGAACGAGTGAGTTAAATGTTCATTGCAGGGTGTTCTATTAATTTTTTAGAATGCTTTTATAGCTGGACATTCCACTGGATGTGAAGGCTGCTTTCTTCTGCTTTGTGGCTGAACTCTGACCCCTCTGCCCTTCTTTACAGTAACAAATGCCCCTCTGATTGGTTGCTCGCAGAGACAGAGTAGCATTGGCCTCAGCTCCACATTTATTTTTCTTGGTCCAGTGATTAGGTTTTGGCGGATGCCACGAATTCTTTTTCCTCTGCAGCACGTTGCAGAAATAGAAAGAAAATAACGTAAGAGGAAATCATATAAAACTTCCAGAGAATTTTTATACGATAATAAACAACTTCAAGAGAGAAGTTCTTGAGATCATAAGCAACTTGAATAACATCAAGCTTGCTAACCGATTTCGTGAGATAAGTTGTACCAAATTCTACAAGCAAGTTGTCTGCTACAAGCCTAAACCAAAAGACTTGGGTCCTGAGATCAAATTTTTTTTGCGCGTCTTTCTTGGTCATTTTCTAAACCAGTTGGAATTCTTCCTTTTCTTTAACAGGGAAGAAGAGCTATGCTCCTGGTATTGCTTAGCAAAATCATAGATTACAAAAGCGTACCTAAAATTGAGGATTTGATTCATTAACAGTGGAATTGATTGGATAAATTGTCATTCAGATGATAAATTGATCGGATCTGCATGAGAAAAGAAAAAGAAGAGACAATCCTAAACTTAGCATCATTGTCAGCGCAAAGTTAAAGTCAGAGAATCTCAGTCACTTGAACATCTTTTATCGTGACTTGATTGGTAGGGACCAAGTTCTGATGCTAAGTTAGATGGGTGATTCATGTACCCTTTGAGGTTGCATTATGAAATCCCGGTGCCCTGAAGCTTGACAGTTGTAAATTGTAAAGAGCATTTCTATCTTCCCCTTTTTCGACTTGTACTATTTGGTTAATATTCTTGAACAGTCCTCTCCCATACTAAACTCTCTTCATAAATTCCTTACAATACTAGTTCAGCTGCGTCAGTCAAAGTTATCCTGTTAGAGCGTCTTGTGCTTAGGGATCTCATAATGAACCCTGTGGATTTTTCATTTTTGTGCTCTGCTGTAAACAAAAGTCTGCAGGTATATATAGGTATGTCCCACTTCAAAGGATTATTGTGATATTCTGGATATAAAGAAGAACGCTTTCCATTTATTAGACTGCCCTCCTCTGGGCAAATGCCTCTTTAACCATCTGGCCCTTTTTTTAACTGTCAGAATCCCTGAAAATATTGGAAGATTACAGCATGTTGTACATACACTTGAGTCACTAACTAAAGCTACCATCATGAACTGAAACTCGTCTTGCAACATGGTCATCTTCAGTCTTCAGTACTTTCGGAGGACTCTCTGAAGTGCTCGTCTGATCATACCAGGTGTTGCAACTTTTGATCCCTTGAACTGAAATTCATTCCGTGAAAGCTGTTAGATAAATACAGTTCGTAATAGTGCTACTTGAAAATGCAACTTTCTCTACAAGATGGTAACTAGCTGAATTGGAGGTTCATTAATAGTAAATCAAGAAATAGGAATCAAACCTTAGCTCTAATTTTAACAGTGAGAGTTCCATCAGTGTTGGAAGATTGAACGGTGTGAGAATCTAGATTGAGCTTGCTTACTGCCTCCATAATTTCACAAAAGACAGACTCTGTCCAAGGACACTCAAGTTCAATCAAGGCATTCCTGTTGATCACTGTCACAGTTAGATCATCACTTGAGCACTCTGTCAAGGTACAGTAATTGGTTTCAGCTTCAATTTCTTCAAGATTACTTGCCTTCCTCTTGCTGATTACGGGCTTCCTGCTCTTGCCAACTTTATTCATGATATAATTACCAGAGGTCCTCTCTGTTGCTTCTTGCTGCAGCCTCTTTGTTCTTGCCTCTAGCTCTATCGCCTCTTTGACGGATTCAAGCTCCTCTACTCTTCTTTCAAGCTCTTTCAGATAGTCAATTGCACCATCCAGTATTGAAACTTTATCAAGCTGGAATATGAGAAGCAATTGAGCTTCTATTAGTGCATTACGCGTTTCGATAATTACCAAAAAAAAAAAGAAGAAAAATTGATATTTAAGTACCTTGCCATTGGATGGGACCAATGATCCAAGCATCATAAATCTTTCGTTTAATTTTTCTCTCCTTTTCCTTTCAGCCAAGACGTGATTGTTATCAATTTCATCAGCCTCTGGTCTCCAAATGCTCTCTCTTTTGCCATAGCCTTTACTGGACTTGAGTTTCCAGTCACCGTGCATCCTAGGAACTTCGAACACTACACTCTTTAGAACTCTTTGTGACATCGCCCCTTGTTTCTGGACAAACTGTGGTCTCTCTATCTTCCAGCTTACAAAGCTTGATTCTTGATTGCTATTTGTGAAATATGGTCCCAAAATTAGCTGGTGCGAGCTTTTCAATAGAGCAGAAAGAACACCTTGATAGTGAGCATCATCACTGCGAAAGTTAAAGTGATCCAGTTTCTTTAGATTGCATTCTTGCAGGTCATGCTTAAAATCATGGTTTACTGTTTCTTCATTAGAAAGTGGAACCCCTTTTTCACCATTTGCATATGTTTGAGGTGTGCAGTCTCCGGAATTCATAGAGTCATGGATACAATTGCTAATTTCATCATCCATGAATCGCCAGCTTTGTACATGACAAGCCTCATCACTGGTGCCTTCCATCATATGTGAATTCTGTGCCTGCTGATCAGCGTCCTCAAAACCAGTTGTACTGTTACTGGGAGAACAAATCTTTACATCTTCGCATTCAACCAGCGGCTCAAAATTAGCTTCAATCATGTCATCATCAAGACCGCAGACAACAATGTCTTTGGCATTTGTATTTGGGACATATTGAGGAATTTTGGAAATGACGGGGTAAGGATTATCCAGGAAGGCAGATTTTATGTGTCGAATGAGATTTCTGTCCTCTACAACCTTCAAATATCGTACAGCAGCAAAACAAATATGTCCATCATCAAAAGATAAGATTTCATTCAGATAATTAAAGTGGAGAGCAAGTCCAAGAATAAGGCTTACTGGTTCTGTTACTCCTAGCTCCACTACACCTCCTAGATGTGGAAAGCAAACAACAGTCTAAATGTAATCAAGAAAAGTGGGGAATCAAGCTCCAGTTAGTGCCATCATTTGGGTCAAAAAATCATCGAGTACGACATTGATTTAAAATTTTCCCTGCATTTAGCGTTTTTAAAAGGCAGAATTTCGTACAAATTTCTGAATGACCTCAACAGGTGGGCACAAATATAAAAGGTGATAGCGTGGCATATTACCTGAATAGATGCGCTCTGATGAAGGCAGCAAAAGTCCAATGATTCAGGTCAGAAACGAAACCCAAAAAAAAAAAGATGTTAATCTTCTGGGAATGATGAATGATCCAATAAAATTCAGCAACCAGATGCCCTTCACTTGCCTTGGCAAGCAGAGACCGAGGGAACACTTTGCTGTCTGCCTGGTGAGCATTGCATAGCCACGTAATCTGATTCTTTGCTAGCGTACGTCCTGGCAATCTGGTAGTGGATTTCAAAGCAAAAACACTCATTCAATAAAATGTTAATCGATTTAGATTTTAGCCATTCCAACCCATTCTTGACATTGCCAAGAAATTAATTTTAAACCCATGTTCAAATGGCAAATTAAAGTAAGCAAAAGGTTCAACTTCGAAGTTTGGTTGCATTATTATTGCTCCCCAGTCTCCAAAGGCGTCGTTGCTCTCTGTGGACGCAATGGTGACTAAAATTAGCCACTGGCCAAACCGGAGGGTGAAAATGGTTAGTATTATCGACCCGACCGCATGCACGTTGCCATTGCAGGTAAAGGACCATCGGTCGGTGCCCACTTGGATCATGGACACATGTGAATCAGGTCCTTATAACTAGAGGAAGCAATATGTACTTTTTGTCCAATTTTTTCAGTGAATTTAGATGGGTACACGTAAAGCATTTATGAAGGAGACCCGTCATACCGTACTTGTACCATCATCAAGATTGCTTGGACGCCCATCATATGTCGAAAGCGGCCAAATGCTTTCATCACATTATTAACCAACTACCTCTAAGGTAATTGGCTAGCAGGCTTAAAGTTCTATATGAATGCAGGGTAAGGAATCAAATTTTCTGATTTGCATTCGCTGACGACGGGTGGTGCAGAGGTACCCGTCTGATCCAGTTTCCTCCGAATTTTTTAGTGACCCATTTGGGTTCACTCCTTTCTTATAGTGTAAAGTAGTAGTAGGTGTACCTGTTTGGTCCAGTTCTCTCCGGATTTTTCATTTGGGCTCACCCCTTCCCCTTAGTATAGAGTAGAAGTAGGTGTAGGTATAGAATAGAAATTATCGTATCCATAAAAAAAAAGATATCACATTATTTGTAAGAAATTATTTACTTATATCGTAAACACGTTTTTCAATTAATTTTTTTATTTTACATACATCACATCATAAAAAATATTCTAATAAATACTCTAAATAATATTTCAAATAATCTTATATCTAAATACACTCAATATGTCACAATTTTGAAATTGCATGAACAAACTTTGCGTGGTCTCCTTTCAAAAACAAAAAACTTTGCGTGTTCTTGATGGGTAATCTAATTCATGGACTCATAACCATGTTGAATGATTTTGTTTTCGTTAGAGTCACTCATGTGTGAAGAGCACTGATAATAATGTTTCAGCTCACATTATTTATGTCCAAGTTGTCAAGCCTCTTGAGGGAAGTAGAGTCTGCCAAAGAAATATCTTATGCTATAAAGGCAGACTTGACATGAATGAATGGCAGACTTGACAGAGGGGTCAGAAATATTTTTCGGAAGATATTTTCTGGAAAAAGATACTCCTTTATTGATGAACTAATCTAATGAATCTCAATTTCTGCAATACCC